TTCAATTTAATTTTCAATGTTTTGGGTCTATAGTCTAGTCGATGTAATTTAGTAACATTTTCTTTTTGCTTATGTTTTTTTTTAATCTCTTGTTATTAAATAACCCACATTATGATAATAGAAAATCTGCCAAAAAAGGCTGAAATGTAAGAATCTGGACATAAATTTACTGTGGATGATTTAGCCCTTTCCATGCATTTTCATCTCAGTAAATGGCTTTCTCCAAATCCTAAAGGATTAAACGCGTCACGCGAAAACGTTTTCCACTTTGTCATATATTTCTCTAAGATTGTTCTTGATATATAAAAACGTATAACATTTTACAATATATATATATATATATATATATATATATATATATATATATATATATATATATATATATATTACAGACAAACCCTATATTTCATTGTTTAAAAAAAAATTAAAATTAAATATTTTTGTATTTTTTAAAGTAAAAGATAAAGTTTCAGTAACTACAGAGTATATTTTTTTATTTTTCAGTCTTTTTCCAGGCTCCTCTTATTACCACAATATATTTTGCTAAATTATGAATATTTTGCATGACAAACCTTTCGCCATTAACCCCTCAGAAAATCTTTTTGAGATTAGCAAAATTTTCAACTTTTAGTACAGGTTCTAAATCTTAACTCAGCACTGACTAATGTTGTAAGCAAGCTTGTTCCATTACGACAGTATTTTCATGAATTTTGTTTTATTTACTTTTCAATTTTGAAGTAATTTGCACAAAATCGCAAAATCAAAGCAGCTAATCGGTGAAGTGAGGACACAAGTTGAAATTTTATTCAAAGAAGGATACTCTCAAAGACAAATTGCCAAAAAGTTGAAGATTTCTAGAATGGGGTGATTATTCGTTTCAAAAACAGAAAAACGTTGACAGAAAAAGATCTGGAGCACGAAAAATGACAACTGCGGATGAAGATAAATAGAAGGTATTTTGAGGGAGAGACGGATATTGATTTTGATGTCAAGCGAATCAGGAAAAAAAAAACACAAAAAAACAATATCATTCGATTTTGCAAGCACATGCTATACCATATAGTTTACGCATAATTGGAAAAAAAAAATCACCTTTTAACCAGACAATGATCCAGAGACACTCTCCTAAATTATGTCAAAATTACTTCGAGTCAAAAAAGAACGGGATATGGGATGAATTGGATTTTCGCAGAGAATACCAAAGAGTGAGAGTCTTAAAGAAAGCGTCTGTCAATTAATTTTTTCAGGAAAAAAAAACAAAAAAGTAAAGAGAGGTGGTGGTTTTATTGATGAAAAAAAAAAAAACATTGCGATTTTTTGCAATTCTTTGTTAAAATCAAAGGAATACACATGTTATACCATAATTTTATCTTTTAAATACAAAAATATCTCATTTTAAGGTGTTTTAAAGAAATTTAGGGTGATCCAAATCTATTTACATGTAGTATATATATATATATATATATATGAGAACAAATAATAATCTTAAAACAAGAAAATTTTATTAATAAAAATCTAATACAAAAATAACATCTTGATTAAAAATAGAAAGTTTAAGTTATCTTTCGACCGACGCTTCGTCAGAAAAAATCGTCGGAATTAAAGAGAAACTAATGAAAGGATAAAAATCTTCTTGCAATTGAATTAAAAAAGACGAAGAGGAAGGTTTGAAAGAAAATTAGAAATTTCTAAAATAAAAATTACCAATATATATATATATATATATATATATATACCCAAGTATAGGATTGGTATATATATATATATATATATATATATATATATATATATATATATATATATATATATATACAAATATAGATTGGTGTATACAGAATAAATTTCAATAGCCATCAAATACTATTCTTAAAAGAGTTCTCAATACAGAGTAGAGCAAATATAATTATTTATTTGAAAAGTAATGCCATCATGATACTAGAAGTGTTGAAACAAAATGGCTATTTTTTGTAGTGATTTTATAACATATGTATATATGGACTTGGGACAGTTTAATCACATATTTTGGCTCCGATGTACATCTTATTCGAGAATTAGAAAAATGAAATTTAAATTATGCAGTTGAAGCTTATCAGTTAAATTTAATGAAGCTGACTTATCTCCCTTTCTTTTTTCTTTTCTTTCTTTCTTTCTTTCTTTCTTTCTTTCTTTCTCGCTCTCTCTCGCTCTCTCTCTCTCTCTCTCTCTCTATATATATATATATATATATATATATATATATGTGTGTGTGTGTGTCTGTGTGTGAAAAAGTTTTTTGCGACGCGTTTCGTCTTTTAGTACTTCATCGGACTGTGTTTGTTTAAGATTGACTACACATATGCACAAACGGGAGATGTTGCGAATTAAAATTAGGCATTTTTAAATATGTTTCGGGTATATAATATACGAAAATATCTAAATTTAAATTCCACAGCATCTTTTGTTCGTGTGCACCTGTAATTGCATCAACGTAAACAAACACAGACTGATAAAGTCCCAAGGGACGAAACGCGTCACACGAAACCATTTCCCCTTTGTCATATATCTTTCCTCCAAAATTATTCTTGATATATAAATATTTATATATCGTTATCCCATGAGACTCATGTCTGGGTCAAAAGGTCATATTCAATCGCGACACTATTAAAGGTGTCTTGAATAGAGTGGTGCAATGATCATACTCTACTAAAGATACGCAGCTGTTATATATATATATCATTATTTATTTAAAAATTATAACATAAATAATGAAAATAACAAAATAACCATTTTTTTTCCACTTTCTGGTTTTATCAAGTGATTGTTGAAAAATCATATTTATAAAATCACTACAAAATAACCATTTTTTCCAAATGGTGCCTTATTTTTATAATAATCGTTATAATTTTTAAATAAATAATTAATCTCTCTCTACTGTGTATTGAGCACTATTTTAAGAATAATAATTGTTGGTTATTGGAATTTATTCCGTATACACCTTTCCATATACTTGTATATATATATATATATATATATATATATATATATATATATATATATATATATATATATATATATCGCACGGAATAGACCTTTTAAAGCTGTTGGATGAAATATAAGTCCAGACAATGACTCAAAACCTTTCCCACAAATCCTACATGCATGAGTCGCGATTGCATATACAGGAGCGTCCAGCAATTGATTTGAAGCAGTTCCAGAGCATTGCCATTTATATCAATAACATTGTTAGCCATCATTGAGTTGGTTGCCCTTTTAGGCTATGGGCAGTTTGTGCGATCCTACAATATCAAGCAATGTCTGTTCCTGAACTGTTTATTTTTTTTTCTCAAAAAGACGGTACACCTGGGTCCACCCCACTTTTTGAACATAAAAAGCAATTTTTCTTTCAAGCAATTTACCCCAAGCAAGGCGTGAGTTCCACTAGCACATAAGGGGTTACAGAGGATTGAGAACAAGAGTAGAGTAGCGTGTTTGGGGAAAGGAAACAGAGAAGGGGAACAAGATCAAGGTATCAGATGTCGATTGACATTGCACTTAAATATTTGAAGATTATAGTAATGGAAGGAAAATCCATAGACAGGAAGTGTGGGAGAAAATCTGTTTGAGTAGAAAGACGGTTACAAGCCCTTCGACAGTGAAAGGTGGGATCGAGATGCCAGCCTAGTAGCTCGCTTAAATTCAGGCAGTCTGGGAACCAGCGAAAGTAGCTTGTTGGAGCAGTTGCCGCGAAAATACTTGTGGAAGAGACTAGATGCCAGACTTGCATATTCGTAATGCGAAAAGAAGAGCAAGACTACATCATCAGTCGGTAGTGAGCCGTACGTGTTACATCAGTGAAACCCTTCTCTTCGTTAACGAGGGGCTAACGGGTCCAGCACTCCCAGTGGGGTGTCTAATAGATGGTCTGGTAGCAGTACTTACATGGCAAAATTAATATACACATTCAGATCAATATACTTATTCATTAAAATATTCATAGAAAGGACTCTGTCTGTTCTCCTTTTCTCTCTCCACTCTCTCTCATCTCCCTGTCTCTCTTCACCTATCTATCTATCTATCTATCCACACACACACACACACACACACACACACACACACACACACATATATATATATATATAATCTTAAATTGCCCTATTTTTTCAAACGTTATGCACGTTTTAATTTTTTTTACAAAGGCGTAATTATTTTTGACCTAGTGGTTGAGTGATTCGTTTTCTCCAGTTTACCAAAACTTTTCAGGTTATTTAAAGCCAGAAAATATTTTTTGCACTTTATTTTTTTGCAATAATAATAGTTTAGTGATACTAACTAACCCATAGCTGGGGATAGAAAAGGAGGATTCATATCTTTCTCATGGTGTAAGTGAATATTGATTGATTGATTCGTTTTTTACGTCTTGTCAACCCTTTGTATTTAAAGTCAATATAACAGACCCAACGGGAATTGAAACTCGGCTAACAATTCCGAGCAATTATCCATTACACCATCCGCACATCCAGCCTTACAACATCTGGTATACGCAAGCGGTCACACATCTAGGTACTGACGAGTCTCGACGTTGCTTAATTTAACGTCAAGGAACTGTATTTTTTCAGTTATCAAACATTGTGATAAAGATTATGGATAAACTGTCCGAAGTTCATATTATATTTTTGTTTTGTTCATTTACTCTCGATCGCCTCAGTCATTTTCAAGAACCCATGTGGTGTCTCTGTATCTGACATGTTGGTATATGACTTTTAATGAAAAGTATTTAATAGAGAACTTGCAACCGAACATTTCAGAAAAGCATACATACATATTTTTGCATATTGAAATTAAATTTTAAGCCGATAGACGTTTCTAATTGCAACGGATACGTATATCTTAAATAGCTTTGGACATGAAGTGGTAAGTCGAGAAGATATGTTATAGCAACAAGTAGCAATCTAGTAGTTCTAAAAACCCATGCATTCATAATTAAACTCTCTCTTCCTTTTTTTCTTTCTTCTTATGCGTAG